ATAACCAACCATTTATTATTGTTGATTGTTCTTAACTTTGTCTGGATTTATCTAGATATGGAATTTAATTTTTTTATATTTTTTGAGTCAAATGATTATTTTTGGCCCTGCTGAAGCTGAATCCTTGTAAATTTAATTAATAAAAATTGTTAAATTGATATTAATTCTTCCGATTCGCAAAGCATTGTTATCGCCTCCATTAATAAACATAATATTATTAATATACCTGCCATATGAAAGATAGGAGGGACACATTTTTTTATGTGTAACATAACATCCAAGAAATACATTTGAATGCGTATACATTCGATGTCAAACTTTATGAACCTTTTTAGAAAATGGCAGGTAAAAACTGAAAATAATAGAAATTATACCTTCAGCACTAAAAAAATTTGCTTATTTTGATTAAAATTAGATGAATTTAAGAATACAGTATATAGCTTCGATACCCATTGCAAAATTACAAAAAAAAACTAAAGAGCAATTATACAAAACTTATTACTTTTGCTTTTTACGAACGTTATTCCAATCCAACTGTTTAATTAGTGTGGAGACTGCAAAGCCACAAGACGTATTACTTACAAAAGTGTCACACGAAGGTGCTTAAGTGGCACGACTCTTGCGTTAAAATTATAAAAAATATGAGCGTTTTATTTCTTGAATTGCAAGACATTTTATCATGATTTAGTGGATTTATGTTATGTCAATAAACATTTATAATTTTACGAATAATATGCCGATAAAACAGTTAAAAGGCACGTAGTACCGAGTAACTATTACTTAAAAAACATAACGTATTGTATTTATTGTCGGGTTTGAAGCATATTCGAACTCGAATGTTAATATTTACAGGACCCGAATTCGACTCGACCTACCGACCAGAATATTTTTAAACTCAGATACGACTCGAATTTTAAGGGTAATATTAAATACCGAAGTAAAAAATTTTATTTATACAGATAATGATAAGCGGAATTGCGTTGGCTTTATGTATAGTCGCCTGACGAAACTCCTGGGTTTAGACAGACCGTTGAATGTCGAAAGTGTCAAAACCTTAATAAGATCATATAAACTAACCTGTCGAAACCCGTCGAAACCTGCCAAGCTATATCAAACAGTCGAAACTATATTATGGACTTATTATAAATCTGTCGAAACTAGAGGTTTAGACGTTTCGACAAATCCAAAATAGGTTTCTTCAGGCAACTATAGATTTATGACCAATCTAAAATCATTCACAGGAACTCTCGTTGCTTTATTAAAATACTTTCATTTTTATTTTAAATGATGACATTCTGAATGATCTATTACCAATCTTGCGGAGCAATGTTATTTGTCCAATAAAATTTTTTAAAAAGAAATAATAATAACCTGTAATATACATCATTATACTCTATTAAAAATCATACGACATTCTCGATCAAGGGGAAAAAAAAGTAAAATTTAGTATCTCTGATCAAAGATTCAAATTTTTTTTTAAAAATTCTAAAAAAAAACTCAAGACACAATTCTATTCTCTGAGATTCCAGTCAAGTAAAAAATAAAAGATTTTTTTTTTTGAAGTTACAAGTATTTACATTATCTCAATTTTTATAAAATCACATGAAGATAAAATATGTACTATAATATTTAAGTATTTTAATTCAGTATCGTGAGCGTTCATAAATTATACTGAATGTTAACTCATTATAATCGGTCAAATTATTAGTAAAATAATAAAATAAAAATTAATTGAAATTAGAAGTCCATTGAAAAATCCAAGCTACGTTTGATATTCAGCAATTTCTTGAAAGGTATGATAATTTTCCATTTCCCATTTAAAAATTCATTTTTTGAATAAGACGATTAATCATGATTTTTTCTATACCATCAAAATTGGACGAATCTTATCTTAATATTTCAATGTTTCCATATTTCAGATAATAATGATCACAATGACCAAAATATTCGAATTTTGACCAAAAATTCAATAATTTTGATAATCCTAGTAACGACCACATGCAAGCAACACATACATACTTCAAATTAAATTATTACAATTTATTTTTAATAATAGTATATTTCGTCATCACATGATTATTGTTTTTACATTTGCTGTAATATATATATATATATGCACTTATATCATGGTACGACGCTGTTTTATTTCAAATTTTACCTTTAAATCACAAACATTTTTAAAAATCATGAGAAACTTTATATATTTTTCATCAAAACAATTTTTTAATTATTATATGAGAAACAAATTTAATAAATAAATATAAATAATTTACTTGATCGATTTCGGCCCGGCCAAGGATCCAAGGAATAGGGGTATCCCAAAGGAACATCACGAACACCTACTCACAGTTTAAGGCGAAACAAAATTTAACAAAAATATTATTTTGCTAGATTAGTTTCATTAACATAAGGGATGGTATGTACATGTACATAGCAATTCCTAACGCTAGGAAAAGCAGATCCTTACAAACTTAAACTGCATTCACGAGTAGTATAATTGTCTAACAATTTTGGTAGGTCCCTCCCCATTGTTATTCGGTTTGATTAGAAAATTAAAAATAAATTTAAAATACGAAAATCAAATGTATATAGGTATATACCTAATATGTCCACATCTAAATTTTTCCTTTAGTAAATAATAAAACATTTTTTTTTGTCTTGTCAATATGAGTTGTCATTTATTGTGATAAGGAAAAAGGCACTCTAAGTTTCCTCATTGATTTAAGATAAAATTCTAGAAAAAAGAAGTGAATAAAGAATTAAAAACAATAGAACAGGATATTATTTACGTTTATGCTTAGGAGTCAACAATATCAATCAGAAAAGATATTTCATGCTGGATTATATTTTCCAGAAACAACAAGAGGGGAAAACTAAAAAAAGAATATGAGTTTACTAATAGGTTAAGTTGAATCAAAATATAACAGAAAGTTCTTAAGTATTACTCGCTGAAAGAAAGCAGCACCACTTTATTTAAGGTCAGCATAATTCTTTATTTGAAATTTGTTAAAGGGACAAGTAAAAGAAAAGAACGTCAAAATTTTGTGTTTGAAGTAAGGTATGATGGGAAAGGTGTTCACAAAATTTTCCGCTTCTTTTGTTTTTTATAAGAAAAAAAAATGGAAAAAAAATAAACAAAAATCATGCATGCAATTCTTGTAAGTATATCAGTGGTTTCTTTGCATCGAAGAATTAGGATATTTGATCGTGTGAATATTTTCTTTAAGGAGTAATATAATAGACACATGTTTTTAATTGTTACTCGAAACAAATGATTCAATTTTTTTAATTCAATTAACTAGAAAACAAAATGGGAATGATAGATAAGGCGAAACTTCTTTCCGTTTTTTTTTTTTGTTTTATTAGAAGTAAGAAACCTGTTTTAAATAAATCGGTATATATTAATCGCATGCTCGCTTTCAAAATTTTAATTTTGTTTTAAATATTATATATACTGTATATAAAAGTGTAAATCAAAAAAAAAATTGATTTTTTTCTAAATACAATATAATTGGAAGTTGAAAAAATGTATTATTAAATAGTGGGCCGAGCTCATTTTAGATACTATTATCTTTAATGATCAAGTCTTTGAACATGTTAACTTGCCCGAAGCAAATGATAATTTATCAGTTACATTATAATTAAAGTCTCAGAACAACTTACTTCCAGTTGAGCTACAATCGTTTACAAATATAGGATTAATTTTTTTCTTTGATCAGTGATAATATTTTAGTTAGAAGTTATTTTATCTTTTGTCTCATATTTAATATACAACATTCATGAAACCACAAATTCAATCCTTACGCCTAGTTACGTTAATTAAATATTTCACTGTTTCTTTACCTTTTTGTTTTTTTAACCCGAAATATGGCTCGTGTTGAACAAATATCAACAAAAGTGAAGAGTTTTCGAAAAAAAATCAATGAAATCAGTGAGAAATGTGTTGTAATTACAAGAACGCACCAAGAGTAGATCAATGGGGAAGAAGTCCCTATTATTCCCAATTTCTAATTTAATTTATTACAATATTTCTAGATAAATGCAGCTCAAATGTTTCTTGCATTTTAGTGTCAATAATCAAAATTACAAATAGGAAATGTTTGCGTCACTGAGAATAATTTTATGTACTGTTTTAATATGCAAATTATTTTGCGAACTTAATGTATTAGCATTAAAAATTATATAAAGAAATTTATTAATAATATATGATGCAATGACCAAAAATCAAGAATAGTAGGTCGAGACATGACCTTTAACGTGAAATTCTATGTAATAGTTACTCGCCGCGTAGTGCTGTTTTATCGGATATAGCATATTGTATCGTTATTAAGAATGATTCTTAGTAACGAGTTATAATAACCTAAATCTTCAAATAATTTACGGCACATTTTGGTAATTTTTTAACATAAAATAAAATTTATCAGATGAATTAAATTTTCAAAAAGTTATGAAGTTTATTTTCAAAATTCGATTCGATTAAATTTTATATAGTGACAAATAAATTTACTACAATTTGTGAAAATAGTTAAAATAATTGAACCTTTCCATTTTTATGTAATTCCTTAAGGTTCATTTTTATTGTAGTTTAAGAAATAAAATAATTTATTTTGCCTTGTCATATCGAATAATCTAAATAAACAAAAAAATAATTTTATTCGACTTATATTATAATAAATTATGAATTAAAATAAAAATAGCTGGCATTTTATTTACCATTTCACAATTTTGTTAAGTTAATGTCTGATAAATTTGATATATCTGATAAATTATCAAAATCTATTTTTTTTTAATAAATAAAATAAAAAGGTTTAGTAATATATAGGTACTTAAATTAGTTAATTCATAAAAGCAATATATAAATACCATCATAATCATCATAATCATCATAATCATCGTCAGCTAAATCATCATCAAACATTCTTTTATCTAAATAAGATCAATAATGAAATGATATAAATTAATACATTTATTCTAGATTAACATTAAAAGGAATGTGTGTTTTAGATAACGGGTCTAATTAAATCAGTATGATTAATTGAGATATATTCAATAATAATTCGCTTACTTCTCAATGATTCATCGGATTTTATTTTTGCATCTAAATCATAGGTAACACCATGATCAATAGGCCCAATATCTGATGATTTTTTAATTTTGGTCGTATTTATCGATTCATCATCTTTCATTTTATTTATTTCTAGTTCTATATCAATAATTGTTGGTCTTTTATTTATGTGAGAATTCCAACAACTTTGCATTAATTCAACATAACCTTCAGGAGCGTTGGTGACAATTGGAGGACGAAGACCATCACAAATCCCAATAATAAGGTCAGTATCATGATTTTGATCCCAAAAAGGCTCCCTGCCAGTCATCAACTCCCACATGATCATGCCAAAACTATATATATCTGAAGCTTTGGTATAATGTTTTCCCTGAAGAACTTCTGGAGCAGTATAAGGGATGACACCGTAAATTTCTTCATCATCATCTGATAATTCGAACGCAGATTTGCTTAATCCCAAACTACCTATCCTAAAACTGAATCCGTCCGTGAGGATATTTCCACTATGAAAATTTCGATGAATAATATTCTTGTTATGTATGGCTGTAAGACCTTTTACAACACTTTCCAATCTACTTAACTTTTCTTGCCAATTAAGGTTATAAAAATTAAGAGGGATATAATGCTTTAAATCTCCTGATTTACAATAGTCCATTATTATCAAAAAATCTTGAGTAGTAGGATCTAGTGTGATTCCATAATATCGATTAATATAAGATTGCCCATCTTTCCAATTTAATTGATTAAATATCTCGAGCTGAAAATTATTTAAATTTGTTAATTAAAAACTTGATGAAAAAAAAAGAAAAAAATTAGAAAATTATGCACCTCATTTAGATCCTTGGGAGTTATATTCTTGGAATTACATATTTTCTTAAGAGCAACAGTGAAATTAGTCTTTCGATTTTTTCTTTGATCATCAATTGGTCCATTAATCCAAATTGCTTTATAAATTTTACTAAATCCCCCTTCAGCGATGAAACTGACATCTTTGAATTGATAGTAGGGAATAAATTCCATTCTTGCGGAATCACTAATTTGTGTATACCTGATAAAATCGTCGACGATGACATTTCCACTTTGAATATTAAATTTGCAAGTTTGATAAATCTTGGATAAATTTTTTTTTTCATTGCATTCATTGCACTTTCTTTTTTTGAATGTTGAACAAACTGCGGCACATGATGAACGGTCTTGCATCATTTTTATTATATTGTAATTGAATTTGTTAGAAAAAGAAATGAAAAAAAAAATGGAGATATCGTTCAAGAAATGCGTCTATAAATACACAAAAAAAATTATTAGAAATGAACTTTCTTTTGAACACAAATAAGGAGAAGCAAATGAAAGAAGGGGAGTGTGGTTATGATCGACCATAATTCTAGAAGGTTCCACATTTATTTTTTATTTTCCCAACGGAAACTTCTATAAAACCGTACAATCAATTTTGGATAAAATCAATTGTCAAATTTCTAAAAAAAGAGTGATTAGAAATCAAAAATATTTTTATTTCTTGAAAGTTGTGGTACCTATAATGGTTAAAACACAAAGAAACATTGTCAAATAAACAAATATGGAATTTATGAGAGTAGAGTCATATCAATAAAATGGGTGTTGTTATAATTAATAAAACCAAAAATATATTGAAAGAAAATTACCATAATTATCTAAATTAAATGTTCATTTAAATCATTTAAAGTACCAAATTAATAAATCGACATAAATAGTGATTTCAAATAACTTATAACAGAATTTCTTCCGTGTAACGAGCAGGTTAAAATGGCCGCGTAACGAAATTGCGTAATTCTATGATCATCGATTTTCTAACACAATAAGAGCAAAATTTCGAGATATCATATCAATGCCATAAAACCGTTCAAAGAACCAATGTATTTGTGAACACTTGTCTGCCTACATTCAAAGAACGCCTTTTCGGTAAGTCCTAAATAACGCTGCGCTGACAAAAAAATGAAAACCGCAGTATCGATAAAATCACTTCCACATGATCCAGATATAAAGATACGCGGAATTTTATATTAGTATTAGTTTTATCGTTAATTAAATATAGTAATATTTTAAATCTTTGACCCTTGAATAAAGATTTAGTAATTATTTTGTTAATCAATACTATATAAATAAATAGATGTTTATTTTTGACGAAATAAAATTTTAAGTATCATGCAAACTTTGTAAACTTCGAAGCAAAAGAAATCAGTATATATTATAAATATGTTATGCTTATAAAAGAACACGATTTGATTTTAGCGTTAGACAAAGTTGGTATGGTTATTAATGTTTATAAAATTATTTATTATGTGTATTTATTTTTATCGGTTTTTTCTCATTACAATACAATTAAAATTAATTTGGAACTAATATTGTTTTAAGCGAAACTATAGAAATAAAAATTAAAAATAAAAAAATATTTCACATATTTGGAATCATATCATCTAGATGCACGTGATACATAATTTGACTGTATACGCAATATTATTTGATGAGTTATTCTGTAGAAATCAATTAATTAAAGTAACCCGAAAGTTGATCTCATCTTTACAAAGTGCATCGCAAAGTTTAAATTCTGGTTCAGGATAAGAATTAAATTTGCTTTAATAAATAATTTCTTCATTCGATTGGGATTTATTCTCAATTTGCTCAAGTGCTTCGTCTAAAAGAAATAAATATAAATGAATCTTACAATTATTTTTGACCAAAATGGATTTAGATCGTAAATAAATTTTAATACTTACTCATCTCTTCTTTGGTCAAATTCTTAATTGTATTATCTATTTATATTTTTTTTTTAAAAAAAAATAATAATAATTAAATAATTATGTAAAATTTCAAATTTCCGCACATCACATCATATGACGAGAATAAACACGTACTCATCTTTTGCATCATGGTCTTCTCAACATTAGAATCAATCATCGGTTCATTTTTCCTCACGTTTTGAAGTGCAACGTTAAAATTTTCGTAAACGCGACTTACATGATAAGCTTGTTGATGAGATTCTCTAATAGGAACATCATCATTTTCCAAACCTGCTGAGATATTAGCTTCTCTCTGCAATAAAGCTTTATCATAATTCCAAAATTCTTTGACATCATTTTTTAATTCGACAACATTAAATTTCTCGGTTATAACATCAATATTTTCTTCGATCAATTCATAAATATTTCCTTCGATTCTTCCATTCAATGGCCGAGGGTTTTTATGATACAGAAAGATATGATCCTTCCAATTTTCAAATTTTTCCCTTATATCAAATGCTGTTGGTCTTTTGGAAGGATCCGAATCCCAACATTTCTTCATTAAATCTATGTAGCATGACGGAGTATTTTCAATTATTTCCGGACGTTCACCACCACCAATGTTGAGGATCAATTTACTATCGTGTGCTTTATCATCAAATGGGGGAAATCCGGACGTGAATTCCCACATTATCATAGAGAAGCTGTAAATATCACTTGCCGAAGTATATGGTTTCCCTTCCAATACTTCTGGAGCCACGAAGGGCAAAACACCATAAACTTCATTTTTCGTAGAAGATTTATAATATTCTACGGGTTTACATAATCCTAAATCACAAATCACTGTATTGAAATAATGTTTCAAAATGTTACCATCATGAAAGTCGGTATGAATCAGTTTTAACTCATGTATCGATACAAGTCCACTTAAGATTTGACTCAAGTATTCTAATTTCTGAACCCAATCAGCTTTTACGATATCAGGTAAACGTTTTCTTAAATTTCCATCACGCGCCAGTTGCATTACTATTATATAATTTGAACTGGGATCTTTGGTAATTCCATACAATCGAACAAGACGGTTTAATCCCTTAGAGCACATATAATGATATTTCCACTATATACATATATATGGATAATTAATCAATTTATTTTAAAAAATAAATTAAGGACCAGCCAAATTAAAACATGAACATCATACCTCATTCATAAATTCATAATTCTCATTAAAGGAACTAATAAATTTTTTAAGAATTACTTCATAACCTTTTATCTTTGTGTTGGAATTAACAACAATTTCTTCAGTTAATCTATACCGTTCTAACTCATGCTCCCATTCAAAGATAGGTCCGTCTAACCAAATAGCCTTGTAAATCGAGCTATAACCCCCTTTATCGTGATATTCAATATTTGTCAATCTGTCATAAGAGATCCATTCTAATACTTCTTCAATGTTATTTGCATTCAGTTGAGCCTCTCGAATAAATTCGTTAATAAGTTCACTTCCGCTATTCCAATTTGGAAATTCTTGTCGAAATCGTTCACTATTATATTTTTGACACCATAGATATCCCGTATTTGGTTTATTACAATCCGGGCACAATCCATTGTCGTCCTCCCCTTCATCATAATTTTCAGAGATTGAATTTAATTCTATATCATCATTTTCAAGGGCAGAAGTTGATTCAACATTATTATTTTCGGAGGCGAGTGTTGGTCCTAAATTATTATTCGTTGAGACAAAGCTTACATTGGAGTGATCATTAATTCGATTTGGAATATTAGAGATTACTTCCTCTTTATTTCGTTTCGGCTTATAACAAGTTGAAATTCTATGGAATCGAGAAAAATATTTATGTATATATTAGCGATTTCATTAAAAAATGTTAACTGTAATAAAGCCACTCACATGTTTCCACACATGATTACGTAGTTAGTAAAAAAAAGATTTTTGTGATTTACTATATTTCGGAGTTTCAGCCTTATATAATTTTTGTTTGTACGATTTTGGTAATGATTATCATTTAATTTGTAATACAAATCTATGAAAATTATTAGTTTAATCAAATTGTCAACGAATTTTTGATAAATCAAAAATGAGACTTTTTCTATACACTTTTTGAAACCCTCAATTTATTGTATTAATGTAGTAAAACCTAATATTATAAGAAATAGTTCATTAATGTATTAAATATTATTAGTAGACAATGCAAAAAATTTTATGGTCTCGATAATGAGACGAAGAATCTTTTTTATAGTATCGACTTAATAATAATATTATAAACCAACATTAAATTAATACCCAATTGAACTAAAAATAAAAATACGCAAGAATATTTTTTCCAACAATAACATCCATGTCAAACCTCAGCAATATTAAACCGCAATATCAAAAGAAGATTTATAAACCTTCCCGCTAATTAGGTGCTTTACAGTAACAGTAATTTCCACTTGTCCAAAAGTAAAGTCTAATAATAAATTAGGTAGTTCATGACATGGTACAGGGAGCTGAATAGAAAGTTGTCCTAAAAGCCCCATACCAGGCTCATCACAATATTTTGGATTATATTGATGAGAATAATATATATTAAAATTTGCAACAGTTTGATTATGATAAAGTGGTTGAAACAAAGCACGAACTGTATGACCAACACCTGTCTCAGTACCACGTCGAATTAAACTTTTAAAACGAATAATTTGCCCATTAGAAGTTTTTCTACTAATCGGGTCACTTGTCGTCTAATGTAAATGTTAATTATTCAAATTATTCTTATTATAAATAATTAAATATTATTATTATTATTAAAGCAAAGCAAACTTGCCCATTGATTTTTTATTCTAATTCCATAAGTATATCTAAGAATTCTTGTATGAGCTAAAATTATGAAATAAATGATTTTTAAAAAAAAAATCAAAGTTATTGTTAAAAACTAAATATTTTTAACTAAATGTATTACAAACCTTTGATAATAACTCTAGGGTAATTATCGGATTCGTTGGCAGGTTGAATACTTCCATCATCATTCAAAGGAAGGGATTTTGCTTCATCCTCATTAACTTCTTCAATTTCCAACATTTTTAGAGTTTTTTCTAAATTTTGAGACATTATCACGAGTTGTTGTTGCATTTCATTATTTTGTCTTTCAAAATTAAAAACTTGCTGTTGAAGTTTTTTCAATTGCTCATCTTTTTCTTTGAGATCTTTTTGTAACTTTTCATTAAGATCTTTATGTTGTTGTTCTAGCCTTTTACATTCTTGTAATTGCTTTTTTAAATCTAGTTGATAATCAGACTCTTGTTGAAGTTTATTTTTTAATTCTGAATTTATATGTAAGATGTCCCCGTTTTCTTCTTGAAATTTTTCATGCTTTTGTTTAAGGCTTTTATTTTCTTCCAATAAATACGTCAATCTATTGTTTAATTTTTCAAAACCTACTCCAAATTTTTCGATATCAAATCTGCTCGTCATAATATTGGATTTCTTATTCTTATTAAATGAAGGTTGAAATAGACGATTAAGGTATTAAAAAAAAAAAAAAAGGATTGTTTATAAACAAAAATGCCAAGTGCCGATCTTTGATTTTAACTCCGAAAATTTTTTTTGAATCAAGTATTACAAGAACTTTTGATTCAATTATTTTCCAAACTCCCAAATAATATATTATGTATTTTTATTTGCTCTACGGAACTATTTAGAATAGAATATTATAATCTCAATACTCCGATTTAAATACTTTTATAGACTTATCCCGTGAAATAAACCATTTTTTTTTAAAAGAAAAATGAAAAGCATTGTTTTAGACCGATTTTAGGGTTGCCTATTTAGAACATATAGATAATTCATAAGTTTGCTATTGAAATTATATTCGAACCATATGATTCGTAACTTGATTTTAATGGCATAAGACCCAAAAGAATTAGAAATTTTGATAAAATTTTTTAGAAATTAAAGACAAATATTAGCTAATTTATTAAGCATTAATACTTTATCTCGACTGAACGAATTTTAATGTTATCGGCATAAGGTATACTGACGTTCGTGGACCTTTACCAACATCTTATTAAGTTGGGATGAGAGATCTAAATTCATTATTGAAGATAAGATAATGAAAAGTCGTACGAGCATCTAATGTAGTAAATTGTACCAGAGCATTAGAGCTAAGGTGGCATTAGAAAATAAAGGTTATAATTATTGTATTTTTGTGCGTGTGTGCATCAAAAAATTCAGATTGTATGAATAAGTTTACATGATAAAGTAATGAAATGTAGCTTCTGCCCTTCATTACGTAAGAACAAAATAAAAAAATCGTACTTGCTAATTTATAGAATTTTAGGAATAAATTTCAGGAAGAAAAATTTGGAGGATTGTTAGTCTATGAATTGTAACTAGTAATTCACAATTGATTTAACTATTATTCAAGAAAATAACTCACTTAAAATAAATAATATATTATCTTTATAATCATTTCTAATTAGATGATTTGGTCTGTTAGAAGGCCTCATGATATTACATTAAACCATAATTCGTATATTATCTATATTTAAGAAATTAATTCAGTTCAGCTTTTAATTATTACAAGCTTATTTTTTGAATTACAAATTCAGAACTTTTTTTTATAGTTCATCTTTTTTATGAAATTTTTCTTAAAAATACTGAATTAATGTGTAATGCATCTCGATTTTTTTTCTGAAGGTCTTTATTTTGTTAATTAAGCTGCTTATTTCTTCTAAATATTCTTTAACTTATTGAAGGTAAGTTTGGAACACGTGTGTCGAAACTGACAAATCATGTATCTACTTAATTTTTAAGCGTGTCACCCTATCTAAAATTTAATATAGTCCTTCTCTTCGATACGGGCTAATTAGTGTCATAACCTTCTATTTGTAATGAACATTTTTAAATATATTTTTATTTTATTTTATTTTAAAATAAAAATTTACCATTTGGACGGTTCTTCTATTCGGACCATTTCTTTTTTCAGAGATTGGGATTAGTTTCTGAAGTTCCTTATGGTCAGAACGTTTTATATGTGATTCCCTTTCAGAAACCGTTTTAATGCTAGCCTTGCTCCCAGTACGTCTCAAAAGTATAGAGTTCTCTTTACCCTTAAATAAATTCATTCCAGAATGTTTTGCATAGAAGAAAGTTCCAAAAGCAATTATGTAACTTTAACGTCGATTGAATTTTGCATGGACCATGCTAGTAATCTCGTTAAATAAAATTAAACGCGAAAAGCTTATGAATTTCATTAATGGATTTGTCATATAGAATGACTAAAAAACTAAATTAGAAAGAAGGTAATTTTTAAGAAGTACCAAACTAACATACGTAAAGAATTCACCAAGATTCGTTCTTCAATCGAAACAAAGAAAAAAAATTAATAAATTATAGCAATAGTCTGTGAGTTTTTTATTTAAAGGATGCAATTTGATAATTGTTAATCATTTTAAAATGTAATTTTATTATATTTATGTTAATATAGAAAATAAATTAATTTTTTTGACACATAGATTGTTTAGCCAAATCAGCATCCACAGCTTCTAGAATTTTAATTCAAATATTTTTATCGAATGATGAAATATTACTTTTTTGGTCGATTTTTAATAAAACTCGCTACCTATCAAATTTCCATACCCATCATATTTTTTGGATCTTTTTTCGTCTAAAGTAAATATAAATTGAGTCTCAAGTATTAAAAATTTTTAAGTACGTATCATAGAAACTTACCAAAATTTTCTTACTTTAATCCCATAAGTGTATTTAAGAACTCTTTAAGCATCTTCATTTAAATCTGAATCCCTCTGGAAGATAAACCATAAATTACAGCTCCAAGTTCAATAGTAACAATAGGAGATCCGGGAACTAAAATTGTATGTACTCTATGTGCAAAATTTTCTTTAATTCTTCTTTGTAAATACTTTGATTCACTAAAACCTCCAATTAAAAACATTGCCGAACATGTTTCAAGAGAACTATTGAGTTGTTTATGAATCAGATTTAAAATTTTTTCAACAACAGGGTCAAACATTGATTTTATGTCATTGAAACCTATTTCAATTATCCATTCATCTTCTTCTATTTTTTCTATCATATCATTAGTAATATATTTTTTTAGCATAGGAGCAGATACGTCGAGATCCAATTCATAACTACTAAAGTCTTGTTTTTCTCCTGTAAAAGGCCATTTACAACTTTTACAAAATTCCTGAATTAAAAATTGCATTTGTTCGTAATGGTTTTCTCTAAACATTTCCATTGCACTATTTCCAAGTTTTCTACTTAAATATTCGATGAATTCTTTATCAACAAAAGTACTTCCACAAAGCATCTCAGATCTTAGGGCAGTTTTTCCCTCATGAAATTTGCTGTAGAATAGAATATTCTTGATAAGTTTAAATCAAATATAGATCAATATAACTTGACTAAATTATATGCATACTTCCTGCCCTAAAGCCTTTCTGTTTAAGCTCCTTCATACAGTATAGTGCCGCGGCTTCAGCTATAAATCATCATATTAATGAAATTAAAAAAAAAGTTAAATATTCACAGGTTATGATAAAATAGTAAATATTTCCACCTTCTGTAGTGAATTGTAAGTTTGTTGATCGTCTGTCTAGTAATCCTGCATTAAATACTCAATTTCTCATAATCGTTATTTCATTGTATGAAAATTCTGCAGGATACGTAAGAACTAATAATACGTTTTTCAAGAAATCAATTCCTGGATACCACGTAGCAATTGTCTTCTTCATCTCCTTAAAAATTTAATTCAAATAAAAATTCAAAATTATTTTTTTAATTGATTTTTTGTGATTTATGACTATACCTTTCCGATTTCTCTAAAATAATCAGTAATAGCCTTTTTATAATCCAACAAAGGTGGAAGAGGATGTGGTTGGCATAGACATAATTTAAACAATTCAACAGGCCTTTTATAATTTCCATTTCGTTGCATTTGTTTTTTAACCAAAGCTGGAAGACCCCATGATATTACATTATTATAATTCATCATCGTATTGAAGCACTGTATTAGATTTAAACATGCCAATACATTCAGGCCATTGATCATGTGCATATATTTCTTGTGGTTTCGAAATATGACAGTAAGCGAATCCGGAGTAAGTTGTTCCAAAATCGAAACCAACCACGACCAGAATTTCATCTTAAAAAATTTATGAATATAATTTATTTCAACTTTAATCATAATAAGATTAAAATTCTTTATGTTTCGCTACATACCTTTATTATAAGAGCTTCACGAGTGTTCTGAGGCATTTACAATATTTTTTGCGAGTTGAATGCTATCATTATTGTTTAAAGGTAAAGTTGTTGTTCCTTGATTATTTTAAAGGATTTTGTTCTACTTTAAGAATTTCATTGTCATTATCATTAACTTCGACCATTCTAACATTTCTAGAGTTTTTTCTAAGGTTTGTGAAAGCATTTCAAATTCATTTTTTTGAGCTTCCAAATTTTGAACTTTTTGTTGAAGTTTTTCCAACTGATCATCTTTCTCTTGTAGTTTATTTTTTAATTCTGAATTAATGCGTAAGGTTTCTCGATTTTCTTTTTGAAAGTCTTTATGTTGTTGTTTAAGCCTATTATTTTCTTCTAATAAATTCTTCAACTTATTGTTTAATTTTTCCAAATCAATTCCAATTCTTTCAGCCATAATGTATTGTTGACAGTATTACATGAGCTGTCAATATATTTGGAAAATCAGGCTAGAAAATTACTGCAAATAATGTTACACTGCAGCAAACATAATAAATTTGTACTTATGGAGTTGAATTGACAATTTAAAATGTTGCGATTAAAATAACAAGTATTTCCGAAAAAATTGAATGTGTCACTCTCGGAAATTGACTGCGCCTAAAATTGGATTTCCGCAGTCCTGACGATCAATTTGCTGACAATTCAGTCATATTAGTTGGAATTGAGTTTTCGGACTTTTCGATGATTTAGGACACCTCGACATGATGGAATATATATGTCAAAATGACCGTTTTTGACATAACGAAGCGATCAATAAGCATTATCGTCAGTCAAGCCGCAATCTTGCCAAAAATTCCATAACTAAGACATGGGAAGGGAATTTATTATATACAGAAGGGTTTTTCGTCTTGCTTTTAGATTAGAATTAGATAGTTCTCTTTTCTCTTTAGGCCTATTACAGAGCGCCGGCAGAGGCAGTAATAGTTGTTTTAATTTATTATTTCGTATATTTAATAAAAACTTTATTTAATTCTATATTCGATTGTTTTACATACATATTTTCACTATAATACATTGTGTTCCCTAATCTAATAGACTACGAATTTAGGAGGTGAAAAATGCAAGTTACAGTATATGCCGATCATTTTCAAAAAATTTTTTCGAATAAATTGAGATGCTTTAATTATAGATCATTAATAAATATCACTCGCAGATAAGATTTGGCAGAATGGAGAGGGTGGTTAAAAAATTGAAACAAGTCGGTGATAAGTCGCAAAATGTAAATAAAACAATCGTTTTCTGCGCCGAAAATCGAATTACTTTACGTCTAAGATTTAATTTAATTCCACGTTAAAGTATCACTATCAGATTGAAACCTGTTGCACGGTAGATAAGTTCTAGACAGGTGACTTAAAAATAATTATTATTATTTAAAATCCTTCCTTTTAATATACTATCCCCAAAACCTGAAATTATGGAGTTAATTTTGGAAGCAGCACTAGAAAAAGAGGAAATCTAAATTTAGGTCAAATTTTAATTTTATTAAACCACTTGACTGTTCTCAGTTCATGTATACAAAATTAGGTGTAGCTATAGATATTTAACACTTTAATAAATTGGGGAACGGAAATAAGAGACATTTCGTTAGGGAATTGATTGTAATTCCAAATTCTTTGACATAAAATAGAAGGAATGGGAATTGCAATCCGACAATAATGTAGATTAACTAAGATGAATGGGAGAAGTGATTTGAATAAGTATTGCATTATAATCTCATTAGCTAATTTTTGTTTTAATTTTCGATATTTTATAGCTTTTGCCAAAGAAATGGCTTGTTTTATATAGATTTTTAAATGGTAAGTTTTCTTTTAATTTTTTTTTTTTTGAAGTTTTGGGAAAAATTATTTCGGAGTCAGAATTCTACACTTGCAAGGCTTAATAAAAAATTAAGAAAGACGTAAGTTAATCAAAGGAACATTGCTTTCTTATCATAAAAACAAATCAGTTTAATTCATTTTATCATCCTAGAGCAAATCGTTGATGGATCGAGATCGAGGCCGTGTTGGATGTGGTATTAATTTTGGATGAGAAGCATGGACGGATAATCTAGGTGATAAATTATAAAGCAAAATTTGCTTATTAGTCTCAAATTTATTAGATTGATTTTGACTTTTTATTAATTATTATTCATCAGATTTATATATATATTTTTTTTTGATCGCATATTTTCTTTAAATAATAAATTTTATATTGAATTATGGGACGCTAAACATTAATTAAAATTGAAAATTAATAAAATTTGTACGAAAATTAATCAATTACCTATTAGTAATAATTATCGAGGCGAACACACTCACTGTAGTATAATAAGCAATATAATTGGCAGATCTAACATAATAAATAATTTGTGAAAATGTCATAAAATGCGAAAGCTCATGTTTAACTACCATCTAAATATGCACCACAGCACATTTTCGCTTTTTATAGTGTAAAAATTCATGCATCTAAATTTGGCAATGATAAGAATCTACAAACAGATCTCGATATTTTTTCTACAAATCAATAAGTAAACTAAATATATTTCAAAGGTATAGTGTTTGTTATCCTTTCAAAAAAATGAAGTAAAGTTTTTCCAATAAGTAATAATTAACAAATGTAGCGCAATTCTTGAAAATTTTAGCTCAAAGATCGAAAGATAAAATAAATTTAAGCGAACTAACACGAGAACATGTTGTAAGCGAGGTAGATAAATTTTAATACTTGCTAATTTGAGTAATAATAAATATGGATAAATTAAAAATACAATACCTATAGAGACTGATACTGATCTGATATTACATCATTTTTTCGTTATAAAATAATCATATCTTTTAAACTCTTAAGCATATTTTCCCTCTTCTCCTCTTCATCTCTTCATCTCTTCACCTCCCTCACCTCCCTCACCTCCTTCACCTCTTCCTTCGTATCCTGTCTTGCTAAACTTTACAAGGTCGTTCCTTCTCATTTTACGGAACTGTGCAGTTTAAACTCTTGATTCTAATTTATTTATTAACGCGCTCCCTCCAAAGTTATTCACGCTTTTGACAAGATTTTTGTTTGTAATGTTTTCCATTCTGGGTTACGAACTCTACAATATTAGGTTGATCTACTGGAACGATACCCAGGATGTTCATTCTATAGACCCAATGGTTTGTTATTTAAGCGACATAGTGTGAATTCTTAATGTTTAATTGTTCGCAGTTCAGATTCTTTGTGGCGGATTCGGATAGTAGGGAAATTATTTATGGGAAGTATCTTTTTTATTTCTCCTTTAACGATGTCTAGGCAGGTGGTAAAGGGCCATTGTTCGGGTTAAATAGTGATCACTTCCCTTTAGTTTCTGTCCTTTTGATCGTGTCCTCGCCCGTTACTTCATTAACTGCTTTTGTTTAAGGATGTGGTTAGTAAAAAGGTTTTAGCTTTAAAAGGAGAAGCATTTTCTGGTGGTATCCTTAGTATTAAGCTAAGAGCGACGGTTTAGTACTTGGATACAGACGCTCCCTAGGATTTGCTTATCCATCCTCTTAGAAGTGTTTGCCTTACACGTGAAAGATTCCTTCGAGGAGTTGGTCTCTTTTCACACGCCTTTCTTTGAGGAAGTAACAAATCTTTGAACACCCATTTTTGATATAAGTAGTTTTATTTTATTGTTAATTTTTCGTTTTTTTTCTCTTTCCGATACTATCCTCTAATCCCTTCTTACTTTTCATTATATTCTACAGGTTTGAGAAAATGAAGATACATTACCTGATGATTTCTTGACGAAAGGAGAATTACCTTCGAAAAAAAATTTTTTGTTTTTTATCATTATTCACGAAGCATATTGCTTATTACCATTAAAATGGGAAATGATTTTTAATATGAAAGTATTTCTTATAATCCATCATTCGGTTAATAATTTACATGATGATTTATTTATATAATTTATTTTAATAATTAAATTTATTAAAATTTATTTGAACTTCACTGCTTTCGAAAAAGAGACTCGAGACGAAAACTTCATCGAGAAACTGTGCATCGGAGCTATACATTTGCCGTCGACTTGTTACTTTGAAGGATACTTTCCAGCAACCTTAGCTTTACATTTTAATTATGAACAATTTTGGTGCTAATTTTTAAGAAATAAACCTATCTACTTGTAGGAAAAATCTAAAGGTTCCAAGAATTGATACGGCACGAGTCAAGTCCGGACTAATTTCAATAATCCGCTTAACATTTTTAAAAAAAAAAAAAATACTTATATTGTTATTTTTTAGCAAATTCAGTTAGTTCTTCAAATTCATTAGGAACACTGAAATTGATTGGAACTTTTTAATATCAAACAAACATTTTTACTTCGATATTTATGGAAAATCCATCAAATCTTGAATCATTTCCGATTTTCCAATAATAATGAAATACACTGACCATTATTATTATTGTTGCCGTAAATTTTTCGATAACACATCCAAATAAAAATTCTGTTTAATTTTAAATGAAGATATTGAGGTACAATTTAAATATCTTTTGGTTCATTCTTGATGCGAAATATCATATTATTTCAAATAAGAGAATCAATAGCTTCTTTTGCTGAAGTGTGATGTGCGCTTGACGTTGTTAACAATTTCTTAGAATCTTTAAATGAATTTTTTTCTAATGTTTTATGATAATGAGTTAGATTTGACATAGTAATTCAAATTACGAAATAAATTTGATAAATATAATTTCTGATCGATGAAAGCTTGAATTAGATGTCATTTTAGAACGTTTCAAATGTTGTGCCCATGCGTATATTTTTGAACTGTTTGAAGAAATAAAAGAAAACCAGTTCAAGTTTTAACGTCAACCCATTATACTGTATATATATATTATTAAATTTTTACTATTTTCGTAATTATACTTTATCGAATCAAAAAATAACATTTCATAAATTGTTAAAATTACTCGATTATGAATCGAATTCAATACAAATTTTATTATTAAGTAGTGCAATACTTTGACATTAGATAAATATAATTTGGACTCGAACGGGCTCAGTTCAAATTTCCAAAATGTGCGGCATTCCCCGACAAACCACAAACCACAAATTTAAATTTGTAATGTATTTATGCTTCACCATTTTAATTTAAACAGCACAACAGTTGTTCTTAAAATTCTTTATATAAATCTGAACTAAACATATTCGTTAAGTTAGTCATAAAAAAATTATGATTACTTTAAATTTATTTATTAAGCCATTTTATGCCTTTTTTATGCTCTAATATTAGTAAGATTTAATAAAGAAGTTAATTCATTTACATCTATTTCGCGTAATGCTTTCTCGTCAGTACGTGCAGGGAATAAGCTTTACTTTTTCGGTGGAAATCCGTATTTATTTCAAGTAAAACATTTTACCTTGATGTATCTCAATCATTTTATTCAGAAAATCCACTATGGTTGAAACACCATCAGCAGCTATTCCATTTGGAAGTATATTCGCTATAGTTTCGTCAATAACAATACAACTATTTATCTATTTGGTGGAATTATGAAAGATCCAATTAAGCTTATCGACACATTTCAATTTTGTACTACATTTAACCCTCAAACGCTTGAATGGAATATAGCTAAAACCAAAGGCGAAGTACCAACAAGACGTAGGGATATTGAAGCAGTCATTGATAATTAAGTAAATTTAAATTTTTGGAGGTACAAATGATTTTCAAGTCCAACTGCTTACTATAACGATACGATTAGCTTGGTCATATGGAACCGCATTCAAATTCGATATGATTATACTGCAACATTATTATCAAATGGTGATATTGTATAAATAGGAGGATATAGTGACAAAATTATACCCATTAACGAAATTAATTTCTATGATACAATGTTGGATTCCTGGTGATGGTGTATCATAAATTTTCAGACATTAATTTATAACCAAACCATAAATTAATTATTTTCTCATTGTACAGGTTGCAAAAAATATAAATATGATAGAATCCCGTATCTATATTTAAGGAATAGCAAATTTTTTGAGTTAAATTATAACGTTAAATATATATTATCCCCTGATTGAAACAGTTATGCAAATGTACTTATACCTACTAGGTATTAAACTTTGTATGTATTTATTTATGCGTTCTTAATTACTGTATATAAACTATATAATATACCATTATTACATGATATGATATTAATCGTTATATTTTTGCATTTGATAAATTTAGGTCGAAAATTAATTGAATCATTATTTTTACGTTTTAAAGGAATTGTGATATTGTTTAATTCGGAAAGAGTATTTCTTGATGTTAAAGAAGATTTTTCATCAAAATTGGCTTAAAAAAAGAAGCTTCAGTTTCAGTATCATCTTATATTCATCATCGATTTTATTTTCTTTTTGAATATTCTAAAAATACATATTAATTAGTAAAAAATTTAATGTATTAAAACAATGTCAATATAATAAATACTTTAGATATTTCTGGAAGAGTTAATTTAGCCGTCTCTAATCATTGTGTTTCAATTGTGAATGATATCGAAATATTATTAAAAAAGATTATATAAATCAAATAATAAATTGTAAAATGTTAAAACATATACACTTACGTTATGGATCGATGTAATGTTATATTCATAATAGCTACCTATTTTTATAATTTTTATTTTTAATATCTAAGATATATTATTAAATTAGTAAAATAAAATAATAAATAATATAATTACAATTAATTTATCAATAAAATCTTACCTTCAATATCTTTATTAACATGAAGAAAAATTCATTTCAGCATTTTTGATCTTAAATTTAAATATTTTTTAATTTCATAACATACATCTTCTAATTCAGATTCATTTAGCGAAATAATATGTGTAAGTGGTTAATTAGAATTTGTTCAATGATAATAATCTCCTTGATAAGTTTTATCATAAATTGTAATAATCTCAAATTCTCTATCATCATATTTTTTAAAATGTTCAGCCATAATATTATAATAAAATCCTCCTCTTAGTGCTGTATAACATCCAACCCATAAAAAACTCTCTTAAGTAATCCATCTAGTGTTTAACTTAACATGTTAGGATGATTAAAATCTTAATTATATTTCATTTGTAAGAGTATTAGCACTATTATATTTACTATTATTAATTTTTTCAAGTTCAATTATCCTAGTATATAATATATCATACATATACTACCCTAAATTCAAAATCTTCATGAATATTAAAAGATTTTCTTTCTTTAAATAATTCTTGATAAAATCGATTTATAGCACAAATTCTATTATATAATATATTTGCTTTGTAATCTTTTTTGTTTCTAGATTTAATATTACAATAAATTAATATAATAATAATGCAATAACTTTCTTATTATAAAGAGTTAGTAATTAATTTCAGGTTGTGTATCATTTAAAAATTCTTCAAATCTGAAAAATCACAATTTTGTAATTTTTTTAGTATTTTCAGGTTTGGATATAGTAATATATTTTTGTAAAGTTTTTATAGAAAGACATTCATATATTTTTTTTAATTTAGATAGTTTAGAAGTTTTATATATTTCAAATATTTTTGCTTTATTTAAAGTAGCAAATTTTCTTTTAGCTCATCTGTAATAGTAATATTATTCTTTGAATATAATAATTCTGAAGCTTTTTTAAAACTTTTATTCATGTTTTTAAATTATAAAATGGAAATGATAAAAAAAGAGTAAAAGTGTAAATAAAGTCATTTAGCGTTAACATTAATTAATTATATATTATTGATATACTAAAAACTATCTGTGTGATTATGTAAATAATAGGGGATAAAAAGTTATATTCTGGCTAATTGGGATAGTAAAATATTATTATTATTAGAAAAATGATTAGCTATCAATCAATCATTTATCCAAACTTTATAAATTTTACTTATTCCTAATTAGTTAGGATATAACTAATACATATTTAACTTAAAACAAAAAAAATATTATCTATAAAGTGAAGAATTTGAACTTTATATAAATCAGATAACTCAAAATATAAGTTTAATTAATTTGCACTTTAAACTCTGATTGGCTAGTATAATTAAGATTAATAGAGTTAGGATTAGAATTAAAATTAGGGTTATGATTTATATGATTTATCATCAGTGTAATACTGATAGTATTTTTATTTTTATTAAGACCTGAGAGACAGAGAATTTTTTTGGATGGTGATGTTTATTTATCACACCTTCAGTATGTAATAAATAATATAATCAAATATACTAGTCAATCAGAGTTTGAAATAAATTAATGAAATTTAAATATAGCAGTATTAAACATCTCAAATAACTTCATTTGAATTGATAATATCACAAATAAAAAGTTCAAGTGAATCAATAATTATTAAATTTATTATTGTTAATTTTATAGGAATATTATTTAGATAAATAATTTTCCAATAGTTTAAAATCTAAAATTTATCAGTTAGAAATTGAAACTATACTATACTTGGATTAATAAATTTGATCATTTTGAACAAAGACAAAATCTAATTTAATTTAATCACAAATACTTTTTATCTTACCTAATTCACCTTCTAAAGATTTAATAACAAAAAAAGTTGACATTTCTATTATTAGTAATATTATAACTGCTTTACATATTGTTTCAAATTTTAATTTATAATTATACTATTAAATAAGTTTTTATTGCATTATTATTTATTTCTATCCATCTATTTCTTAAAAATGAAAAAAAATAATTTAATACATTTTTTAGTAAAATTAAAAAAAAATCTTATTTCTCATTTACCTTTAAATTTAAAAAATTAGTTAACTATTTCATTTATATTTAAGATCAAAAAAAATATAGTATCACAAAAAAAAAAGAACTATTATTATTATATCTTCTTTAAAAAAATATGTATATATGTATATATACAAAAGAATATAATTTTAACAATTTTAACCTTTATTTATTTTTGAATTAAAGAAACTTAATTCTTTTAATTATATTTAAATCCAAAAATTATAGCATTTAAAAAATGATAAAATAAAAAAACCAAAATATTATTTGTTTAAACAAAAAAATAATTTCTACTTTGCTATTAAACTTAAATAAAATAAAAAAAAATACAAAATATTTTTCAAATTGAGTTTTGAAATTAAATTAAATTATTTTTTTTTTAAAAAAAAAATAAAATAATAAATAACTTCAACACTATTTATTTTTAAGTTTAAAATACACATTTTTTTAAAAAAAAAACTATATAATAGTAAGAACTAGATATAATGATTCTTAATATAATGATCACTTAATAAAATCTTGTTAAAATGAATTTTAGAAATTTTAACTTTATATTTGAACTTATAAAAATTGTTATATAAAACTTATAAATTTTGATAAACTGATTTTTTTTTAAAAAATTTTATAGTAAATCAAAAAGTTCGTTATATTGAGTTTTAAATATAGTATTATTTCTTTAATAAAATATTAAAAAAAATAATTACAAAGTATAATTTATATAGTATACAATCATATTGAAATGTAATTATATTAAATTGTATTAAATATATAATATAATATACAAATACTATATTTGTACAAGAATTTTGCTTGTATATTACATTTAAATAATATTAATTATATATAAACTTTGCTATATAAAGATATAAAGCTTTAAAAAATTTTTTTTTTGAATTAATATTTAATTTCAATTTATATTTAATTTCATAAAAAAATTATATTTAGCTTATAAAGTAAAATTTTAATTTTTTTCAAATTATAAAAAAAAATAAAATATTGAATTATAATATTACTATGAAAATTAATAGCATTAAATTATAAAATGATAGAATAAAAAATATTTTTGCTTTCAATTTAAAAAAAAATTTACTTATTAATTAAAGTTAATTTTATATATATTAAAAATTAGTTATACAATTCAATTAATATTTTTTAAATAAAATCAAAAAAAAAATTTACATTAATTGTAATTTTTTATATTAATTTAAATTAAATTTTAATAAAAATGTTTCTTTATAAAAGTTAAATTTTTTATTTTTATTTATTTTTATATTATTAAAAACTTATAAAATATAAAAATTTATATTTAAAATATTTATTTATATATTTAATATTATTTAAAATAATCATAAATTTAAAGTTGAATATTTTATATACAATTTTAATAATTAAAATAAAAATTTATTTAAAATTAATAGATTTATAAAAAATTTTATAATATATTTTAATAAAAATTAAAAAAAAATTAAAAAATTGTAAGTTTCTATATAGAATTTTGCACAATAATTGATTGAAAATTATGATTAAATTTGAATAAAAATCATTAACGTTTAAGAAATAAGTAAAAATCTATGTAAAATTATATAAATTATTAAATTTAAAGCTATAATAAAATATAAAATATTATTTTTTACATATAATTTTAATTTATTATTTAATTATATAATTAATATAATACATATATAAAATGAAATAAACATATAAAAATATAAATTGCATATTATTATAAAATATTACTTAATTTCTTATAATAAAATTAATAATTATAATTTAAAATTAAATATAAATAATTTATAATTTAAATTAAATTTTTAAATAATAAATTTTTATTTTGATATTTATAAAAATAATTAGAAAATTTAAATTTTTTTTTGTTAAGTTCTAAAATTAAAATAAATTGTTATTTTAATAAATAA